CCCAGCCCCTTTAACCCAAACCCTACACATCCCTCTAACCTCTAACCCCTTCATGTAAATGGGCACCTAAATTCATCCGCGTCAGGTCAAGCCATGCAGCCCGCAGGAAGTCCCAAGCTTTGCAGGACTCTACTCAGCACCGCTTCTCATTCCTGCAGCAGTTTCCCACAAAAGGGGGCCCCCATTTAGACCCCAAAACATTGTAACTCTCATTTTGGGGACCCCCCGAAAAAGGTACGCCTTAATTCTGGGAACCCCCCCACTTGTGTCACAGGAGCAGGAGTAACAACAAAGTGCTCATGTTGAGGATCTGTCCTTGCTGCGGCTGATTACGATGGTCATGATGACGGTGATGGTAACGGTGGCCGTGGGAGTGGCAGTGGTCGATGGTGCTATAAATAGTTCCCCTTTTCTTCTCCAGTATGCCTACAAAACTCATAAATTCCCCCTAGTACTACCCCTATAGAAAATGGAAACAACTATAATTTTGGTGGTTGGCGTCCTGATGGTGGGGGTGGGGGTGGGGCAGGAGCAGCAGACCTGGAAGTGGCAACAGCTGTTGTAATAGTAATAGCAGAATAGTAGTAATTAGCAGTATAGTAATAATAGCAGTCAGCTCTCCTAAGCCCTAAACCCTAGACCCTAAGCCCTTACTATTTCTTATGGTGCAGCCCGAGCGATCATGATGATGCAGAAAAGACGCGCGGGACGCTGCCGTAGAACAGACAACAAGTTGACAAATCCAATGAAGCGTTTTCAGTCAGCATATCCATCAACTCTGTCATGGGACGAAGCATGACGAGTGACCATAACAAAAATGATGAATCATCAGCCTGTGAGGGGCTCATGGTTGCCTGCAACTGGAATATACCAAGAAATGTAGAAAGGGAGGGCAAACATGGATGCCGGGTTCCATCCCGCTGCTTGGTGGTTCACCCAATGGCATCACAACACGATCGATGAACGGATGGGTAAATCATATATGGGACTCAGCCCAAATCACTGGTCCCAAAATGCGGCAAGTGTATGTAATTGCCCGGATTATGAATATATAGGGACCCGACATATACCGCTCTTGACCAACCCCCCCGCACACGCCAACTTTCACATTACAACCAACTCTTGGACGCGCACCCCAAAGGCTTGAGCCTAAACCCTAAGCCCCAAACTCCAAACCCTAAATAGAGCTTCCATGGTCTTTTCCAGTATCTCAATTCATCCCATTACCCTATGAGCAGGTTTCCAGATGATCCAAGCCGCAACAGGCTGGTGGGTTTGCCGCGGCTGTGCATCCATGTAGGTACATCCCAGAAAGACCTGAGATAGCTGTACAGGATTCGTGTATATAAGCCCATCATGGTTTGGGCCATCAGATGTGTGCCGTGCTTCTTCCATCCCCTAACTTCTTATCTGAGGACAAGAAGCAAGTGTTAGATTGGGACTTGGGGAGTGTGTTCCGCTTCAAATGTTCTGTTCCAACTTTGTTGATAGTAAGACATACAAGCCTGACCTGCTCCAGGATGTGCTATGCATCAGCTTCGACGAAAGAAAGCGCGGGAGCGTTTTTGAAACTCTGTCTTGGGGTCCTTTGACAGAAAGTGCTATTCTCTTAGAAGATGCTGCCATGTTACCCACCCCCCCCTCCCCCCCCAAAAAAAGCATGGAACTTGCCCAGGTCTCGGAAGCAAAACACCTGCAATCCTAAATGTCAAGCCTTTGACAGCTGCAATCTGTGTTCCTGGGGGCGCTGCAGCTATCCATCCCACCACAGAACTGAGGATCCTGTGCAATGAGTCTGCACCAAAGGGTTTAGGGTAATGAGTCTGCACCAATGGGTTCGGGAACCTATTTTTAAACGTTACAGAAGGATCATATGATGATGGGTTTGTTAGGGGATATTGTATGTCAACTATTTCCTGCTTCCCTCAAAGTGGCGCTTACCGCTGGAGGCTTTGGGTGGACTACTTCCGGAACCTCTCGGAAATATATGCTACAAATCTTGTTCAAGTGCGCAATGCGCTCTCACGGTGGCTCATTATGTATGGCTTGCTGGACTGGATGTTGAACCTTTTGCGTGCATTTGGGAACCCTCTGTAGAGATTGCCCTCCCAAGGCTATGACCAAGTATGGGCACAGGGCAGCTTTACATCTTTGAGCCGTGTTCAAAAGATTGAGTTCTTCAAAACGCGGCTGGTCTTCCACACAAACGCAAAGTACACTCATCAGTTCGAGGTGTGCGTTTATTGCTGCCAAGGCCGAATGAAACCATAATTCCTTGCGCTCCTCTTCCAGCAAATAATCTCAGGCCCTAACAGAATCTTACCGCTTGCTAGCCACTAGCCGGCAATTAGCTGATCTAGAGCCTATCCGAAAATCGATAAAATCAAAACCAAGTTGGCCGTTTGACTACCCATACCTATAAAACGCTGTGACTGTCTGGAGTGGTTCCGGCAAGCTCAACACATGATTCGCTGGGGCTCAGGTATCTACTAAGCAGGATGCCCCTGAGCCCTAGACCCTAACCGGACCTCAAACATTAGCGAAATGATGGCCACAGCATACTGTTTTAGGGTTCTTGTAGACATTGCAGACCCTTAATGGGGGGTTCTGATTATAAAACCCCCCCCAAACAAGTACGGACCGGAATAATCGGGGGGCCCCCAATCGAGTACGGGAAAACTTGTTTGGGGGGGGATCCCAGAGGAACCCATAAACCCTATAAACACTACGCCCTAAGCCCTCTGGCCTAAGGCTTGGGATATATTTGCAAAAAAGAAATCGATGGTTTCTGGTGAACGGTAATATCAGCATCGGCATGCAATTGGCTTCTAAAGAAAGGCGTAATATAAAATATAATAGGGAGTGCAATCTGAAATGCAAATCTTGAATATGTATGCAATTAAAACTGTA